TTTCGATTTTTATTAAATAAATATTAATTAATTATTTTTTAATAATAAATTATATTTTATCACATATTTTATTATATTTTATCATATTTATTCTAATTTCAGTTTTTAAGGAGCTTATTTTTAGTTTTTGATTTTTGAAAAATTCAACCAAAACTAAACCAAAATTATTTGGTTAATATTAAAACCAAAAAAATAAAAATAAAAAACCATTAAAATCAAACTAAATTCATTTTTTTTATTCGGTTTTTGAATAACCCGTTGGTCTGATTTCAAATGTCCAGCCCTATCTATATGGTATCCTAATGTGACCTTTGGGCCGCGCAAGACCTTATAAATTAGTTGATAAATATAATTAATATTTTGATAATAATTAAAATTTAAAATTGAGGTTAGTGGAGCCACTTGAATGGGTCAACACTGTCGAGTAGTTAATTTCAAGTCTTGAAATTTAGGTATAAGTGGTTGGGAATTATATTCCCATCAATTACTTGAAATTTTTTAAAAAAATTCTCAATATTTAAAATAATGATAAAAAAATAATAATAATACAATAAATATTAGTATGTATTAATTTTGATTTTTAAAAATAATTAACGTTTTAATTTACATTTTAAAAATTAAAATATCATCCTATGAAATATTTATATTTAGATTTAAAAACTCATTATATATTATAATGAGTTTCTAAATCTAAATATTAATTGTAAGTGTGAGTCTAAAATCATTGATCTCGAACATGTTATATGTATATCATTAGTACTGCTTGTCACCTTCTTAAGTTAGGTTCAAATTTAAATCACTTAACAATTAAAGTACAATCTAGGTTGAACTTTTTTTAGTTGCACGATTACTACAATTAGATCGCACTAATCTAATTTTCATTTCTAATTAAGATGCCCATTTTGATTGACACATTGGATTCCAATTATCTCACCAAGGAGACTGCATGGATACTCCATTAATACTTATAAATACTTCTAGAGTCACTTGTAATAAGTAATTAAAATTGACTTAAAACTTTTATGTCATTTTTTTAAAATAAATTAAATTATTATTAATTTAAAGTATCAGAGTGTTTATCCAAAAATCAAATTATAAATATGTTCAAAGAGAAAACTTAAACCGAAGAGAATTCAAAAGTTTGTTACAATTACGTTACACTATTAAAAAAATATGTTATTCAGACTAGAATATTTCAAACCATCAAAGAATGGTCCGAACAAAAAATAATTTAGTCTAAACCTAGTCTGGTAAAATAATCAACGATATTTGCACGAAGAAAATTATTATTATTTTTTTTTTTCAGACCGGTAATAATTTGAATTAAAAAAAAAAAAGCACAAATTGTCTGTATAATAGTTTCATAACAGTAATAAACAAAAAAAATTACAATAATAAGTATAATATTGTTTACATCATAAATTATAAAATTTTAAATTAATGCCACGTGTAAATATTTTTTTTATTGATTGGATGAGTTTGAGTCATGTCAGATTCGGATTCTGGGTCTCAGGACAGATCAGCACTTATGTTGGCAAAATAGGAGAGGTAAAGATAATTTTTTATGGAGTAATTATCTTCTTGATACAGAAAGAGATAATGGGAGCTAGAAAATAGGAGAAGATGCAGTTAAAAAGGGGGTTTTATTTGTTAAGAGTACAGGTGGTGAAATCTGAAAGGGGATTAGATTAGGTCAAAAGGTGAGGTGTCCCACTACTTCAAAAAACTACCCATGATTGAGTAACTGCAGAAAGTGAAAGTTACTACCTGCACATGGAGAACAAAAAGGAAATTTTGGAAGGAGGAACAGATGGCCAACCCTACTCAAACAACTGCAAATTTTTATACTTTGATTTTATCTGCAATCTGCTTCCAAATTTTGAATTTTAGCACAGATTCCAGTAGAATTAAGTTGTTTTTCATCATTTCAGTAGACAATTTAATTTATGTACTTGCTACATCAGTTTCACTTCATCCAATGAATTTCAACATTTCAAGTTTCTTCTAGGTACTGTTCATTTCCTGTCTATAATTAATTTAGTGTTTATTTTAAGTAGCATTGCTTCAATAATTACTTATGTGGCTTTTATATTTCTTTCCAATTTCAAGTTCTTCAATTTATTCACTGTTCATGTTTAATTTTAGTGCTAATTTAAGATGAAGTCTCCAATTTTGTAGCAATTTAATTTCCGAATCTGTCATGAGATTGCATTTTTAATTTTACCATAAGCATGTTTAATTTAATTTGGGAACATATCTTTCTCGCAAGTTTATTTTAAATTACAGGTAATTTAGAATAATTAGGATTTGTTAATTTTAAGTCACGGTAATGTTTAAGTCACGGTAATGTTTAAGTCTTTAGAGTTGTCCAAGGCAGATTTCGTATCCTTTCCTCTTGCAAATCGTCTGAAGGCGCAATTTCAATTTTAATCAAACGTTCTTCCTGCTATCTGCAAAGAGGTCGACCGTGGAGAAAGAGAGGGTTGTTGGAAAAGTCCTCATTTCTTACTTTTAGCAAAGTAAGTGACACGCCTACATTCAGATTTCATACGTGCGAAACCACTAAAAGATTTTTGAGAAAACAAATATTATTAAAAAAAATTTCAGACAGTAAATGACCTGAAAACATAGAACATAAATATCCAAAGCAAGTCATCTCCCGGATACGTGGCATTTCTTGAACCATTGCTTTTTTTTTTTCTTAAATCTTCTGCACAGATATGACCTTTTAGTTTTTGCTATTGTTTTTCTTTTTTTCCGCTGTTTTGTAGACCGTTTACGGTCTGGAAATGTCCGTGCAGAGCACCTCTCCGCAGATGTGATTGTTTGATTTTCTTGCTGGTTTTGGTTTCAAGTTGGTAAAAATCCTTCTTAAGTCCCTTAACTTTTTGAACAACAAGTGACAAACTCCTGAACTAAAAAAGTAGTAAATAAGCCCTCTAACATGACGTTGGGTGCAGATCAGCCCCTCTGCTAACTAATTTTGTTAAGCTGTTTGTCATTAGCTTGCGTGGCATTGGGCTTGCACGCATTTGCATTTTTTATTTGGCTTTAACTTCATTTTGTTTTTAGTAATATTATATTATTTAGTTAACTAATTTTTAAATTTGATTAATTAATATTATATAATATATTTATCCTCAAGTAATAATTTTTTTAATAAAATAATGATATATATTTTTAATTTTTATTAATACTACATTTGATTTCAATAATCTTTATAATTTATTTCTTAAATTTAATTAAACTACATATTATTAAGGAAGATGTTTAAAAAAATTTATTAATTAAATGGGTTAATTAAAATTTAAAAATAATTTATAAAGATTATATATTGAAGTAAAATGTA